GATAGAGTGTGGGTTAAGAAGAGGAGGCCTTGCACTGTTGTCTTTAGAGCTTAGAACTGTAGAGTGAACTGGCTTCACTCTGGGGGTCCGAGGGTGAAGTGACGCCAAAAACAACAGACAAAAGAATGAGGGACAACAGTGGAGAGCTTGAGGAATGCTCAGAGAGAGAAATTAACAGAGGGAGGAACAGAGAGAAATGGAGAAAGAGGGGAAACGCAGAAAGAGAACATGCATGTGAGAGCTTCCACAGGGAACTGAGAACAGAGGCCCTGTTGTGTTGGCAGCCACAGGGTGCTGACAAAACACCTGGCAGAGAGAAGGAGCGTCAAAGCTCCCAGAGACCATGGGGATATTAAAGGAAGATCAGGATGTGTGTGTTCTAATGAAAGAAAAATTAAGTGAATGAGAAAATCAGATGAAACACAGGAACATTGTTGTGTGTTAAACCTATAAAAATGTGCCTGTGTATGCTCTTGTGTGTCTGGACAAACAACTAATGGGTATATGTGCATGTGTGCTTTTGTGTGCACTGTAATCCCCAATCAGGGTCCCGTGGGAAAGTGTGTGTGTGTGTGTGTGTGTTTCCTGGAGGTGCCCCCCTGGCCCCAGCTGAAACGTGACTGTGCTCCAACCAGGTCCTCAGCAGCTCAGCTCAGCTCAGCCAAGCACAGAGCCGCCACCGCTGCTGTTACTGCTGCAAAGCACCGGTTTCCTGTGCACATTCCCCACCTCCCTGGCTGTGTTATTGTTGGCCGAGACAGAGGGGTACACAGCTAAGAACGAGGGGTCTTGCAGAGGCCTTTACGGTCCCCACACCGATCAAGGCCTGCACAGCCCAGAACAAGGTGGATTGTGGACATTGTTGTTGTAGGGTTGTATGGATGGCAACGTCAGTCTCTACAACCCTTGTCAACAGGAATTTCTCAACAATTACTAGATGGATTTTCTTGATTTGATGACATTTCTGGTTCCAAGAGGATGGATCCTAACAGCAGGTCATAGCTGTGACATATCCACTGAAATAACTCAACATAAAAACTAAAAGGATTGACACAACATTGTGTACATACATTCATGGTTCCCACATGATGGATCCTTGGTGACTACCTGACCTTTCATCTAGCACCACCATTAGGTTGCATTTGTGTTTATAAGTGAAACCTCACCAAATAATTGATGGATTGCCATAAAATTAAAATTGGTACCATGTAATCTGGAACACACATTAATATTCCTATCAGCATTAAGTATAATAACTTCCCATCAGCATTTAATTAAAATAATGAACATGATTTACACCTGCTAAATATCACTATGTTAGCATTGTCACATTAGCGTTTAGGTAAACCACCACTGTGGTGATTTGTTTCTCTTTGCTTACCATTTCCAGTGGTTACATTGTCTACATACTATTTATACTTACTGTATTTTTATCCAAAATGTTTTTGCAGTCCCTTGTGGCTGCACAAACTGCATTCAGCCATGGAAAGCAGAGAAAGCTTTCACCACAGAGGAGAGGAGTGATGAAAAAGGCCAGAATCAAACAAGGTAACAAGATAAAGTTGTGAATGTCATTAGGACTCCATTGGGAGCACAAGAAAGGGCAGCAGGCATTCAGTGTTTCTGAACATGCGGGCTAAATACATTATTTATACACACTAGGCCACTTTTACACATGATTTGAAGTCAAACTCTTCTAAGTGTTATTCTGTATGCTCAACTTTAACAAATATTTACCACCTTACCCGCTGTGCTGTGTCTGTGCATCTGTTGTTGTGATTGGCTCTAAAACAGGAAATGAACTCAGTGGCTGTCATACTTGTTTGGACACCAAGGTTCAGCTCAGTATAACAATTATATAGCAATCATCCATCACACACACACACACACACCTCGAGTCACACACAGGCATGTGTACATGTGTATGTGTACAGACAGGAATATTAATCAGATTTAATTGTGTCTTTCCCTCTCTCCATTATCTGTATATGCTGACGTCTGTATGTGTGCGTTTACTTTCTACCAGCCTGAACGACTAAATAAGCTTACTCCAGACAGCCTAAATTCCACCACTAATAAAATTACATCTTAGATTTCATTAAATTCATTAAGTAGAGCGTATAGGAAACTGATCATCCTATAGGTATGACGACACAAAAAGCATTAGCTCTAACAGCTGGCCTAAACAAATCTGTGCGGAGATAACAGGATACACCCAGCTGGGGGAGAATGTCCCCTGCCCTCACTGCAGAGATGATATCATCATGGGAGCACAATTACACCTGTCAACCAGAGGGCTTATCAGGGTATCTGTGGTGCAACTCTGGTAAGAGGAGACCTTGCATGGAAAATTAACAACAAAAACAAACCTTTGAGTGTAAATCACTCTACAAGGCCAAAAGAACAGAGTTTATTTGTGTGTGTACAGTATACACTCACTGGTTCCTGCAAAATGATAGTGAGTACTTAATGTCTTACAGGACCTGTCACACATATCTCAAGAATTCCACAGCCACAGACAGAAAAATCTCTTCATCTCCCCATCATAGCTGCCTCATCAGTCACATGTTCTGTCTCCATCCTGAACAAGTCCTGCAAACTAAACCACATACTGATGCTGATACAGACAAAAATGGAAGACATATTTGGTTTAGAGAAAGCAAACACAAAGGGCCAGGCATTCCTAGACATGATTAATTAAAGCAAATAGCATGTTGTAGCCCCGTGAGAGCAAGTGGAGCCATCTGCTCTATAAGGTTGCCCTGCAGAACACCACACTGAAGGCTGAATTTACTGTCTGACATCCGCAAAGTGGTTACAGGAATCTGCCGGTACTCACAGGGCTACGGTTACAGTATCTTCAATTAATTTCCTTCAGCCTTTGCCCTCTAGGCTCTATAGAAGCAAACAGTCATTGTCAATGTAGAGGTGAAATAGGACTTTAACCTCCAGAACCCTGGATACATGGAATAATACCTCCTACTTCTCGTCTGTAAAGGGGTTTAAGGTTATGTGACAAACAGTAGGGCTACAAATACACCCTCTGGTGAAACAACTGATCTGTACACGACACCAGCAAGCCAGGGCTATACCAGTTTATGGTGGTTACTTTATCTCTGTGTGAGGAAAAAAGCTGAATATTTGCAATTTTTCAAGTATAAACTATTTGGATGCCTATATTAATTTCATACAGCAATAAATTATTGTCAGCCTCATGGGTCGTGACTTTTGTAATACTAGAGAAAGGATACATAAACATCTGCTAGGTGTAATTTCTTTCCTCCTGAGGCCTTTTCCTGTATACTGTTAGAGTATGATTGGTATGAAAGGCAGCGTCATGTGAGCACGGCTCAACGTCTTTTCAGCTTTCTTCACTTTGATAAATGATATCAGTGACAGCAAACATTCATACTGAATTTCTTTCTCTGCCATGCATCTTTGGTGCAGTTTCCTGAAACCACCCAGTACAGTGGCATCATGTGATGATAACTGCAATGTAATAGCAATGTAATAGTTTTAACATTTAAACTGGGTGTCGATGTATCCTGAGGTCATGAGTAACAACATAGTAGCTGGTGATGACAGACATGGTTGTTAAAGGTTCCTTGTCCCGGTGAATACTGGTAATATTCCCAATTGTCATTAAGATTTATATTGTGTAAGATATACATAGTGCTAAAATAAGTTACCTTCATTACTTCACTTTATGTCTGTGTGTTTATGCTACTTCTGCAAAACTGTGATCTAATGGCCTTCGCTCTCTTGTGGTGTGCTACAGTGAGTAGATGCTTTGAAGACTGACAGACATCTTTATTCACTGGTCTTTTACAAAAAAATCTTTGATGAAAGCACTGCTGCCTTTTTATTCTTGCAGTCCAGTGTCTCTGTTTCTTTCCCTCAGCTCACCTTAGGAAGTAGAACAAAAGGAAAGTAGAACACAATTCAGGCTCCTGTGATTTTCTCCAGAAAGGCTCATTACTAAAAGCCAAATATAGGTCTACACAGGGTGCGAACTACAGGGGAGCTTGGCTCCTCTTAATAAGATTTGAGCTCCCCTGAAAAAATAAATTGTGAAACTTTGGGGGGTCTGTAGAATATTGACAAAATCAGCCCTTCCAGGATTTTTTTGGTGGGTGAGGAGTTGTTGCAGTCTAAAATGTATGATTTGAACAGAAATTGTGCATGATGATGTTTTTAAGGATGTTTTGCCATGAGAATTGAAGGCAACTTGTTCCAGCAAGAATAAAATTGCAGTTTCTGCATCTTCAAGTGAATTTGGTGACATAAGACTTAACATTTTGTGCAGGAAATGGCAATGATTGGTCAAATTTGCAGAGTTGATTGTTGATTGGGCAAAAGTGCAAGGCCATGCAAAATTCAGAAATTCAATTATGCTTAAACTTAGGCTACTATTGATGTATGATTTCATTTGATTTGCTAATCATGCCATCCCCACTGAAGAGTGACAGCCGAATATCATTAACTTCAGATCAGAAAATATCACAAAATATATCCTCCTACACAGTAGAAAAAGGGAGCTCCCCTGAAAGCCCTGGTATAGTTCACACACTGGGTCTACATAAAATAAGATACAAACAATATAATCTACATATATATAAATGCGTAACTCCTGTTTTCACCATTAAACACTGCAAAAAAAATGTCTTACAAAGGGATCCTTCCAAATGTTCACTCTTATTTGTAGATATTATGGCAGTGAGAATGAGCATTGACAAAAACTAAGAGACTGTTACGAACTGATTTGCTTTTTTAGGGCTTTGTTTGCAGTAAATGACAAAATGTTGTCACATTTTTATGACCATTATACTAAAATTAGAGATTGCATATCATGAAATGACGGCCATATAGTTATCTTATGCAAGGTGACAAAAAAAAACCCAATGAGAGCGATGCTGATGACGACAGCGTGGCTCTCCCCGCCCTCGGCAGGAGCAGGTTGCGTCAAACACGCTCCTCCTCTCCTCTTCTCTGCTCTCCTCTCCTCTTCTCTCCCAGTTGCCGCTGTGCGCTTCTCATCATCCCCATCACCGGAGCGCGGACAGGTAACCGCAATGTCGCGTTTATAGTCTGTTATGGAACAACAATGGGGCGTTTGTTAGGGGATTTTCTGGCATTTAAAAATCGATCAATGTGATTAAATGTGATTGGGTTGTTGTTTGTTGATGGGGCTGCTCGGCTGGATGTAAGAGGCGGGCTTCCTCCCTGTGGCTGCCACACTTCATAGGATATTTATGAATAATATGTTGCTTGTTTTTTAATCTCTAACCTGGTTTATTTGTTTGGCAGATAAGGTGCGTGTCTGTTGTGTGGCTGGTTGCGCCTCGCTGTCATGCGCAGGCTGTTTTGTTTTCTCCTGCCAGC